TAGAATAGAATAGAATAGAATAGAATAGAATAGAATAGAATAGAATAGAATAGAATAGAATATAGGATAGGATAGGATACTGGAATATAGAATAATAGAATAGATATTGGAATATAGAATATAATAATAGAATAGAATCGATATTGGAATATAGAATAGAATTAGAATAGAATTAGAATATAATTGATACTGGAATATGAAATATAATAATAGAATAGAATAGAATTGGAATAAAATAGAATAGATACTGGAATATAGAATAGAATAATAGAATAGATATTGGAATATTGAATAGAATTGAATGGTATAGAAGGAAACAGAACAAATTTCCCAAATCAGCACCAGGAGTACCAGGCTTCTGACTCTGCCTACTTCCCCATATCTTAAAGAAATTCTTCTTGTGCCATATCCGTCATCAGACATTGGCGATCATGTTGGCGATCTTATTTCTATCAACAGCCACACGAAATAGCTGCTGAGTTTTGCCCAAACCAGTCCCTTAGATTTTGAAGAAAATCTTAAAAAGAAATGCAAGTGTTAAAATGAATTTCAATTTCGTTGACTTGGCTTGTCAGATGGTTGCAAACGGAGATCACATGTCCCCGGGACATTGCATGCAACCGTTGTAAGTCCATGCCAGTTGCCAAGGGTCTTAATTTTGATCACGTGACGGTCGTAAGTGTGAAAAATGGTGCCGAGTCATTTTTTTCCAGTGGCGTTGTAACTTCAAACGGTTACTAAGTGAACTGTTGTAAGTTGAGGATTACCTGTACATAACTCAGCGGACCCAGGTTAAGCATGTTGTGGGAATGCAACCTGTTTGTTAGTAGTTTCATTGTGTTTCATCAATAGCGTTTGCTACTGCTAATATTTTAAAGCATATTGCAGATGGTACTCAGCCGGCAGGAATAGTTAACACCCTAGAAGATAGGCTCAAGGTGGATCTTGACAGACTAGAACACTGGGTCCTCTCTAACACAAAATGGGATTCAATGTAGAGAAAAGTAAAGTCCTACACTTAGGCAAGGAAAACCCAAAGGACACATACAGACTGGGTGAAACCAGGCTCAATAGCAGGAACTGGGAGGGGGATCTTGGAGTCTTAGTGGACAACCAGCTAAATAGGAGCCAGCCGTGTGCAGCAGCAGCCAAAAAAGCTAATGCAACCCTAAGTGGCATAAACAGAGGGATACAATCGAGATCAAATGAGGTACTAATACCACTCTGTAAAGCCTTAGTAAGGCCACACCTAGAGTACTGCATCCAGTTATGTTCACCACATTATAAAAAAGATGTTGAGACTTAGAAAAAGTATATAGAAGAGCAACCAGGATGATGAGAGGACTAAAACATATGAAGAACGGTTGCAGGAACTGAGCCTGGCTAGTCTAGGGAAGAGAAGGACCAGGGGAGACAGGATAGCAGTCTTCCAACAGCTGCCACAGAGGAGTGGGTCAAGCTATTTTCCAAAGAAAGAAGAAGGAAGGAAGGAAAGGAAGGAAGGAAGGAAGGAAGGAAGGAAGGAAGGAAGGAAGGAAGGAAGGAAG